TGGGCACTCTCAGGGCTTGAAATTGCTTTTTCTCAACTATTTGAGTTCTTTTTCAGTCTGCTGTTTCTTCATATTTCTGACATACAATGTTTAAGCCTGTGCAGCTATGGGAACCTGGTTTTTAATGAGTGATGAATAGGTTCCTAACATTTTAATAGGTATGTTACTTCAGGGAGGGGTGTATATGCATTTCCATATTAAATGACATACCAGAAGTACTGGGAGTTAAAGTGTAGCATGTAAGACCAAAGAAGACACTAAATGGACAGACTTCTCTAAAGGACTTATTTTTCTTGCTGAAGCATCAGATCATATCAGCTTCTGTTCTTGCTTGTTGTAAGGCTCTTTTAAACCATACTGGCAGTACAAAGGACTTCGGTATTATTTGGAATGCCTCTTTAAACATTGGATCTAGTCAAAAGAATAATTCTATAACAACAATGCTGTATTTCTTCCAAATTTTACTCATCTCCAGAGCCAAAGTATTTCTTGCATGATGCTCTCTAGCTCATTCTGCTATCAGCAATGCAGAGCCATTACAGCAATCAGATGTAATCTGCTTTATCACCAGCAAAGCTGTTGCCAGGAAATTTTCAGATTACCACAATTTTTATACTAATTCAGTGAAAGTGTAAATGATATTTAAAGCATGTCTTGATTTTCAGTCCCAAAGTTGTATTTTCAAGCATAAAATTTGGGTGGCTTACTTAGCAATTTTGTTTTATTGAGCAAGCTCATACTTTGCACAAATTATAAAGGTTGAGTATGAAGCATCAAGGTAGCATTTTTAGCAAGTAAATTTTGCAGCCAGGCAGATTTAGCCAAAAGCCAAACTTTAAAGCTGATTTTTCATTACATGTTGAATCAGTATAAAATTACCGGTGGCCAAAGAGAAAACTTTGCTCTTTGAGCCTTATCGCTAAAATATCTAATGACCCTTCCTGTGCCAATACAACCACTTGTGCTGTATTCCCACGACTCCCTCTGGTGGCAAACTTCATAGATCATAGTATGGTTTGAGTTGGAAGGGACTTTAAAGACACCCGGTTCTAGCCTCTCCCTGCCACGGGCAGGGACACCTTCCACTAGACCAGGTTGCTCAAAGCCCCGTCTAACCTGGCCTTGACCACTTCCAGAGTTCCAGGAGCAACTTCTCCATACCACGGGGGGGATAACATTTTCCCTTTTTTTTTCGGATGCTACGCATGGATTAGAGGCATGCTGGTGAATTCTCAGCTCATTTGGACAGTGGAAATGTTGTTAAAGCTTTTGTTCAAGTTGTAAGATCTCTTTTTTGTACTATTAGTTCTATATCTACTAGTTCAACTGAATAAACAACCTACTGTAAAATCTGCATAATACTGAAAAAAAAAAAAAAAAAACTGTAGTAAAATGTAAATTTAAATAAATATGTTGTAAAAGAGATAGTATTTCTGGTTTACGTACTTCCCTTTCACGTAGTCTACCACTATATAAGCACCTCACAAGTGGTCCTGATTTGTCTCAGACTGGACTCCTGAGGCAAAGAGCAGCATCACAAATCTGAAAATAGGGAGCTTCAGCATAAAGGACACAAGTGATTTTCGCAGTTTCACATGCAAAGTCAGTAGCATGCTGGGAAAATAAAACCTGGATTTTCTTCTTACCTGGGGCACTTTACACCACTCTTATACATTTTTTTTTAATATATATATATATACACACTCTATTACACTTATATAAAGGGACCTTAACATCTACTAACTCACTTTTACTTCCAAAGTTCTTCTTTTCCCTCCATTGGAGGCAGCACTGCTTCCCTGCTGCAATCCTAGCCAGACGATCCCTCACTACCTGCTGCCTAGACACATAGCAGTGGGGCTTGATAGTCTGTGTGTCCAAAATCCAGACAAATGTTGTAGGAATTTGATGACAGAAGACCCATCGTGGTTCAGTCTCCCAACTTTATGAAAAGTGATTGGTGCCAAAATTAGCTTACAAAACTAAGTCACTTTAATGATGACTAAACTCATTCATAGACATTGCATTGCAACTTTTTTTCACTTATGACTTGTCCTTTCTTGTTCACATCTGACCTTACTTGTATCAGGCAATGCCATCATGGCTAACATATCAACAGAAATTGAAGATTTCAAAGAAAAAGTAATCATAATCAAACTCACTAGATGAAAGGAAGACAAAAATATTTCTGTTTATCCTGCTGTCAAATCAACTGTGTTTTATTTGTTACATTACACAGATTAGTAGCGCAGGTTTTCACAAGTTCACTGTGTTGGTAAGTCAGACTCCATACCCACGATGAACATGTAATACCTCCTCTTATCATGAATAAATCTTCTTAGCTGAGTACATAAGGATAATGTACAAAAGCAGCATGACTGGCCCAAAAGGTAGAATGAGATACAGTGGTATGTCTGAGAATGAAAGGAGAATGAAATATGAAGCACAGTAATGCTTGATGATGTACTGGTGATCAAAATAGAGCTGTCTGCCATTAAAGAATAGCGTGCATTAATGGGAGACTGGAAGACTAAGGTCTCTTATGTCACCTCTGCTAAACAGGATCCTACTATTTTTAACATTTTAATTCAGGTTAGAATTCAGGTCTCTCTTTCAGACACACACGTCCCTGCCTATATATACGTACACAATGTATGTGACATAATTTTCCATTGCCTCAAATGGAAATTTTTATTCAGTGATTTCTTATTCCAAGGATGTTCTTCTGAAGAAAGGCAGTTCCAGTTACATGATCCTAGTGAATTAATTACGACAAAGTCTCTGGTTTTTATCCTGCAAGTACCTATACATGGGCTTTTTATGCTTGAATTTTATTTTTTAAGATGAATCATACCTTTTGCAGCTTCCATGAAATGGAGACATGCCTGTCCCTGGTGATGTGGAATCAGAATAATGGCATAAATGGAACCTGAACACACCAGTCCTGTCCCTGTCTGACAGAAAAGAGTGAACCCTTGCAACACTTTTTGCCCTGTTTAGGTTTGCCCTGTACTATAACTTCTTATAGTAGATTGACAATAATAATACAAAATAATTAGGACTGACAACTATAAAAAATCATCAACACTGGAGGCCACTCCCATAGTAATGTCATAACCATTTGGTCACATTTCTCTCTCCTGAGATTTTTTTTCTCTGCCCAAGTGAATCTTCTTTTTCTTGCTGCAGAGTGGATCAACTACAGCTGAAGGCAGAGATACCTAACTGAGTTGAAAAATAGAGTATTCTCCTGGTACAGGGACAGTGTGGATCCAAACAGCTACAAGCTCAGGAATGGGTAGAAATCAGATTTTTCCTGTTCCTGGATAAGTGCTTCCAAATGTCAGCTATAAGTATGACGGTGTCAACTAACGAATTAAACAGCAGTATTGGCTGCAAAGCCTCTCGGTTTTGTCTCAAGCATTCAATACTAGGGAGCCCTAAACTAAACTACTCTGTGCAGTGTTGAGTTACTGGCACCACACTTGGTGAATGACATGAACCAAACAGAGAAAACAGAATAACAGTGAGAATGATGCAAGGGCTAAAATCCAAAATTTACAAGGATGGTTATGGAAGAATTAGGGTTGTTAGAGGAGGTCATGATCAGAAACTTGCATACCTCAAAGACTGACTGCTGCTAAGAAGGATTTGCTATCCAAGTCTGTGGTGACAAGACAAAAAATAGTAGCCTTTAATCAAAGAAAGGGTAGTTAGGCTAGATATTAATGCACATTTTCTTGCAGCAAGTTAATTATGCACTAGAACAGCTCACCAGGGCAAACAGTAGATTCTCCATCACCAGAATTCTTGAGCAACAGGTCGGATGCAGATACAAACTCAACCAGTCTGGGGCCAGCAGAGGGTTAGATGACCTCCAGCTCTTACTTCTAGTGCTATTTTTCTAGGTGTTAGGATTCTTAGAGCACATGTAAAGGGTGAACTTCTGAGGTGGAAAGGCATCCAAACTCTGGGTTGCAATAGGTGTTTCTCAGGAAATAAGTTCTGCACATGCCCGAGTGAAGTAGTTGCTTGTATTTAGGTGCCTGAGGAACTTTCAGACTGACCTTGCAAACATCTCCAGGGTAAAGCAAGGGCAGAACTTCTCTCTGCAAAGTTGTATTGGACACAAAGTTTACAGCTGAGCACAGTAATATCCATTCACAGCATATTGCCATGTGACAAGCAGGGAGTTTTAGACTTCAATGAAGCACGACTAGCTAATAATAACAATTGCATAGTTTATTTATGGATGTAAATTTGCATAGGTTCCTCGGGGCCAATGAGGTCAAGAACCCAACAAATTTTCTTTTCCCAGTTGTGCAACAAAATCGCACAGCTATGTATACCAAGATATACAGTTAACTCTAGACAGATGTCTTATCCGAGCAGTAAATCTGTACAACCCAGGTTTAAACATGGTATAATTCAGGCACAAACTCTTTTCCATACCTGAGTAATACAAAGTGTCCACAGCCTATCTCTTCTACCTCTTCTTCCTGCTCTGCTTCTTTAGTAACCTGTCCAGCACTTACCCTGAGTGTTGCAAAGGCAGCTCCTCTCTTAAATTCTCCTGAAGTTCAGCTGTCTGAATGGAGATTGTAATTGTTTACTGTCTGTATTATGACCTCCTTAAATATCCCTAAATACAGTATGCACTGATGGCGCATCCTTAGCTAAAACTACAGCACCCAGGATCACATACACATTACCAGTCATCAGAGGAGAGCGTTGGTCTGATTTATCTGAGGTTTTATGTACACAACTCCCTGAGCCATTAGCTGTCAACATACTCTTGAGTAAAATTACTTATTAGTGGATTTAATTTTTTGTACAGAAACACATATATCAGTGGCACCTTGTAGCTAACTGTAATGAAGACACACAGAATATCATTTGGATGATACCATTGTTCTTTTGTGACTTTATTTGTCAAAAGCCATGTGGAATAGATATAATTAACATTGCTCATGTATTTTCTTACAGCATTCTCAGTATTTTAACTGACAGTGTTGAACAAAGACTCTAAAGAAGCCCTGCAGCATCCAACTGAGCAGCACAGCCAGGAAGGAGAGTCTGGCTCCTCTCTCCCTGCAAGAGGTCCCACTCACCACCTCCAAGGAGTCTTGCAGTGGCATCAGTTAGAGCACATGCAGTACAAAATACTCCCTGCTTTCAACTGAGGTGAAACAAAGTACTGGCTCCAAGAACAGACATATAAGCATTCAAACCTGTGATATAAAGAAAGTAATGTAAATGAGAAAGGGATGAACTGAGTAGGTAATAAAATGGAGATGGTATTACACTGCAGCTGTTCTACTTGTATGCTGGAAGCCCATCTGTCAAAAAATGAGTATTTCATCCAGGGACTGAAGCACTAACCTTGTCACGTTACACCCCAGCCACCATTTCTAGGCCCAAGCCCATCTCTCCTCACCCCCACATCCCTTCTCCTTCCCCTTCCTTGCTGCTCCCTCAGCCACAAGCCGCAGCCTGGCCACAGAGCTGCCACAGCAGCTGGCCAAGGGGGTCTCCAGGCGTACCCCACCCGTGCAGTGGGTAGAAGGGTGCGTATCAGGGCCCTGGCTTTTTTCAGTCCCTTCTGCTGAGAGTCTGGTTCCCGGGCATGCTGTGGGCTAGCACCACGATACTGGATTCCCTCCCTGGGTCCTCTTCACTGCTGGGGTTTTGACTCCGTGAGCCACAGCTTGTCCTGTACACACGGCCACGGGTCGCAGTCACACACGGGTGACTGCCGGAGTGCCAGGGCAGAGCAAAAACTTCTTCTCATTAAGGTTTGTGGCCATTCCTACTAATGTAGCAATGTTACTGAGACATTTGGAGAAGGGTGATTTATTGACATGTTGCAAAAGCATGTACTTTTGCTAACAGGTAGTTAAACAACTAAAGGCAATGTTTTCATTCCTGTAAACTTGTTCATTTGCTCAGTCTAGGAGAAACAATTAGTACAGAGAGAAGAAGGCTTCAACCATCTTTTTCTATATATATAAGAGGTCCTATAATTAGTGTGTCAAGATTGGAGGATCATATTTATGTACAGGTTGGTTCTGGGAATAGACTTTGCTTGCTTTTTTGGTCAGATAGGAGCAAAGTCTGCTTCCCATATGTATGTTTTTCATCTACCAGTGTAACTTCTTTCCCTAAGGTATTTGTGAATTATCCTTTTTTTTTGTCATCATCTTTTCTCTATTTTTCTTCAGTCACTGGATATTTTTTCCCTTTTCACTTACTGTAATATTTTTTTGTGTACATTTTGAATCTACTTCTTCTTAAACTCCTTGGTGATTTAATGAAATTCATATGTCTTTGATTTCTTTCCAGAATCACGGCCTAAAACATATTTCCTATCCTCTCTTTGATGTTTTGCTTTAGGGGAATGTTCTTTAGATGGACTGTTCTTAAATGGCACCCTCTGTGGAGACTCTGTTCCTTTCTGTGAGTATGTTTTATACTCCATCTTAATAGCACACTCTAGTATTCACCTTTAATATCACTCTGCTTATCACATCAAAGTGATGTTTGTCCACAGTGCTTCACTGAGGTGTAATGAACAGTATATCTGACAAATATCTGATAATTTGCATGTGAGGATGCTTCAGTGTGGTTTCTCCTGAAATCACACACTGTCTGAAACAGAATTAACTTCGTTTCTTTACAGATAAGCAAACCTGGCTCCGAGCTGAAATAACAGGGTCTTTTACCAAATTTCTGGCAAGAGCATTAAAACTTTTCAGAGCACCCTATGGAGAGATACACGAAGCCTGGAGATTGCTGTGCTCTTCTGAAGCTTTGTAGACCTTCTGGGTGGGATGGGCTGGGTGGAGCAGCCATGTCAGTTGGCACTGCTTCTCCAAGCACAGGTCATATAGGCCCCCATGCTGCTGCTCTTGTGGTTGCTGTCCTTTCTGCTGGTGTCTCACTATTTTTGAATCATAGGAAGGTCAGATATTTCAGATTAGAATCTCACTAGAGATGACTAAGTGTTTCCGTAACATATGCATCCCTCAGTAGCCTGCTACCACTGTAATTCAGGCTATTTCAGCCCTAAAGACTTGTTCTATAATAGTCTCTTCCCCAGGCAAGCACCTCCCCAGTTGAAGAGTTCAGAGCACCAGGGCAAGGGCAGACCGCCGAGTGTTGCTCCAAAGGCACCTTCAGGGCTAATGTGTTTGACATTGTTTTGCTTATGCTTTCTGCTGCAAATCAAGATGACACTTAGGAAATTAATATATAAGGCCCCTTTATTGCACCACTACATCCCGTTAGCAGTTCAGAGACCAGCTGTGAACACTTGCTTGCCAAAGCCTCCTATTGACTTTGTGAAATCACAGAGTGCTTAATCAGACCATACAGAGACAGATTTTTAACCTTTTTTCCCCACACCTTCTTACTTTTCCCTCCCCAGTGTTGCTGGCCTTGGCTTTTTGTAACCCAGAAGAGATGCAACCTCCTTCGAAGGACGAGGCATATCCATCAAAACCTAACACTCTGCCCCATTTGAAGCTGTTCAAGAAACAGTCTACGTGAAATTAAGCTTTGTATTATGTTTCTCAGTGAAAAAAATATACATCAAAAGGGTGTCATGGGGGCACTGCACTAAAAATGTGATGTTTTGAGGGGCAGTATATACATATTTTCTTTAACAGAACATCTTCTATGTTTTTTGATCAGAATACACTTATTGGTAGAGATCATTATCAAAAATAATTACTATTGGAGCTGTCCATAGTATTAGTTTTCATAAATTCATCCAGTTATAATTAATATGTGCCTTTCAAGGACCTAAAAGGGAAGACATTCAATATTTCTTGTCTCTAATTTTAGTATGATCTGATTTTCCTCTGGTTGCCTTTCCAAACACCTGGGGCCAGCCATATGAGTAAATTAGATTGTGCTAAAATGCATATTAATGAAGCTCAAGCAATCATTCCCTAAAGGGACAGTAAAACTATATATAGCTCCTTTTTTTCCCTTCTCTTGGCTAATGTGTCTTTCAACACATTTAGATCCTAGTAAAATCATGCCATTTTGGAATAGCCAAAAAAATACAATGAAATTGTTAAAACAAAAACTCAGAAGCACATTTATTTGAAGTGTATATATGATCACTTGTTTTATTACTTGCATTGTAAAATTATTTCCTATTAGAATTGGATTTTCTTTTAATTGACTTATCCTATGAGAAAAAATAATATCAAGACATTTGGGGCAGTAAGAAGTGGCGTATTTGTTAAATGCCTCTGTGATCTCTGCATTTTCCTCTCCATAAAAAAAACATAGTGCTGATTATAATGGATAGCAGTGGAGGGCGACAACAAATTATCATGCATGACCCTGAGTATATGGAATGAAAAGAAAGAGTTCTGGAAAAGGACACTGGAATAAATCCCAGTTCCTGAAGGAAGTCCTGTGGTGTTATTGTGGATTGTCTACTGCAGCATCTCAGTCTGGACCAGGAGGGTGGTTTTTAGGTGAATCACTGCTGGCAACGCCCTGGTTCACACCACAGGGTGGTCATAGAGCACATGCACCAGATTAATTCAGCAGAAACTAAACAGAAAGATAGACTCCAGAGGCACATTTCAAGTGCACCAACTGCTAATGGGCATTCAGCTCATAGAAAGACACCAGATGAAGTCCAAAATGGAAACCTCCTAAATGTGTGGGCACTGGGTCTTCAGCACCACCACTTTTAAACCAGGGTGGATACAGAGGAAACTGCTTGGATGACTAGGGAAGCCCAGGTTATCATGCCAGGAAAAAAATGGTTTGGTAATTAGACCAAAGGCTTAGAGAGGATGTGACTCGGTGATAAACAACAGGAAGGTAAAAGAACTACCAAGTTGCAAAACAAACTGACACAAATGAGTATTAATTGCTCACATCCTAGAAGTTAGAAAGAAGATCTAAACACATATCTAGGATTAGAAGGAAGATCCAAACAAACCTGAACTTTTGGAAAACCTTTCAACTGGAATATCATGGTTTAAGGGACCTCCAAATGCTTTAAAAATGCAGTTTATGGAAGGAAATGTATAATATGGCTGCTTCTAATTGTAGGGGGCAGAATCTGACAGTTTAATCTGTGACAAAGCAGTGTTTCATACCTATGGATTTTCAAAGCACTGATGTAAGTTATTATTATTATTATAATCAAACCACATTTTAAACAGGTCCAAGTAATTTTTAAGTGCCTTTAAGTATAAAATTAGGGGAAAAATATACAGATGACTTCTCACTGTAAAAAAATTGAGCCAATCTTTAAGATGTGGCATAATGTCTGTTAAAAACCTGAATTGGATGGAAATACTGAAAGTGGCGTATTTGTTCATTGCCCTTCCTCTTCATAAATACTGTAGTGCTCATTATAATGGATAATAATTACAAATAGTGTCCTTACGAGCAGTGCAATGCTCATGCAATTGCAGCTAGTGGATCTACAAGCCAGTTAGCAGTCCTGCCTATTTATGTATTTATTTTTATTGCACTGTGTAAGGCATATCAGAAGAGGCAATCAAGAGCAAGGACACCCAGAATCAGTGGACACTTCTCCCACTTATTGTCTGTCAGCCAGGGGCTTTGCTATGCATGAATTTCAATTAGAAAGAGGAGATGCAGATTCAGGAATCATTCAAGTAGTTATTCAGGTTTTCATTTCCTTCTGAGCATTCCTTCAGAGTCAACAATTGAAAATACAGGATGAGAGCTCTCTCTGTATTTAATGAAAATTTTCTTTCTGTATTCCACTCTTGTCTCCCAGTGAAATGAAATTTTTAAGCATGCCAAACTAACTTGTTAAAAACAGCATTCAATTTTAGAACTATTGAAGTTTCATTCTGAGTATTTTATTATTCCTATTATTGGCTTCCTTCCCCCACTACCTGTGCTAAGTTTCCTTCTCTACCCTCAAACACCTATCCTCTTGCTCTTCCCTTTGAAGACAATCCCAGCCTCCCTGACAGAATCACCCCTTCGCCACCATGGGCAACATCTGGAGCCTGCTGGTTTCTAGCACCAAGAACTGCAGGAGCAAGCATCCCTGCTACCTGCCTCCTCACTCCCTCCCCACTACTACTCATCTCTAGGAGGAGGCAAAACATGCCTGTCTTCTCCTGAGGCTGAGCGACAGTTCTTGAGGTAGGATATCCTGGCAGAAAGTGATCATTTGTTTCCATTGATTGCCCTGGACACCCTGGACGTTGGCAAAGCTTGACTCACTTATGTGCTATCCATCCTTGATGTGGATAAAACTGGAACTAACACCAGTCCCTCCGAGAAGTCAAGATTTTGTGAAGGTTTTGGGCTCATTCATGATGAAATGGGCAGCCAGTTGGGAGAACAAATGTCACCTAGATGTGGGTGCACAGGCAAAGGATGCTCTCATTCAGAAGCAGTCCATGGATGCTATGAAGGAAAATCTGTAATTTCAATATGTTCTCCTAGGAAAGGAACATTAATTCAGGGCTATCACAGAGTTTTCTGAGATCTCTGCTTTTATTCTGCAACCATACAATGGTTCAGTCAGGCTCTGAAAAATTAAAATGCCAAACATTAAGTTAGAGCATATATTAATAAATGCAGAAATAAAAACTAAAGAGAGCATGGTGAGAAGGTGAAATTTGGCTAAGCTATTCTGACTACATCAGTGTCTTTCTATAAAAATAATTCCAGGTCAGTTAAATCACTCTTAGAAAAAATAAATCTTATGCATAAAAATGCAAGACCTTTAACTCTTCATCTTCTATGTTTTAATTGTATGGTAAAACATTATTTTGTTAAAGTAATTTTTTGCATTTAACTTTGAAGCAGTTTTCAAAAGTCAATGACATGGCTTTAAAATATAGCACATCAAACAAGGTATTTCCATCAACATACAGCAGCTGCCATAAACAGCCTTAATTTCCAGTCTAAATTACTGATCTAAATATATTCAGACAAATTAATGCAATGGAAAGTTATAGAACCCAAACTGTATATTTATTTATTGCAACGTTTCACTTGCATCTCATCTGCCATTCATACAAGGTTACTTCAAGTTTAGTAATTTTTTCCCCTTTTCATGCTCAAAATGAGAGGAAGACATGTCTCCCAATGTTCATAACCAAGTTGAAAAACATATTTGGGACTAATCTGTTCACTGGGATATTATTTCCTATATATCATACATTATGTCTTAATTTAAACTGTTACCACTGTGTTCAGCTGTTTAAGACTTCAAGCGAACAATAAGTAAAATTGGCCTGTCGGGTTACGTGTGGGACTTTTTGAAGCAGCCAGCCCTCCAAGGAGTACTGAGGTGCAGATAATTACCAGTACACGTGTGGTTTTGTTTCACAGCCTGTCTCCCAATGACAGATTAGTAATTGGTTTTAGAGTGACACACAGCGAAGGCCATCTGAACCAGGGCACTACTGAGACTGGATTCATTGAGAAAGGGTTGTATTCATGGAGGACAGGATTTCTAAGAGGGAAAAAAAAAAAAAAAAAAAAAAAAAAAAAAGTCTTAGCCAGAGATATACCACTAATAATCTCAGGTTGGGACAATAGAAAGTAGATTAGCTCCCACAGCAACTGTTAATGTTGAAAATCGAAAGCAATGCATGGTAAAATTTATTTCATAGTCCTCAATAAGAAAAGGTTTCTACTTTACTACAAGATAAGACCTGGTTTCTATGTGACAGCAGACAGTCCTCTCACTCTCCAGAATATTTAAAAATTGATTCTTTTACTCTTCTTTTAGACATTGTAGCTTATTATGAACAAAAAACCTTAACTGTTCAGTATGTCACCTTCTGTTTGACAGGAGGAAATGAGGAACAATTACTATGTCTGTGGATTTCACATTGAAATGGGAAAGACAATAAAAAATGAAGTGAGATTTTTTTTTATAAGGGAAAATGAAAAGAAACAATTTATGAGCAGCAGAATGAATGTCTGTCTTTGATTTTTTTTTTGTTTGTTTTTTGTTTCACAACTGAATTGCTTCAGCCTCACCTTCTTTCTGTCGCTTCTTACATGTCTCACTTGTCGCATTTTGATATCATGCAGGTGGCTGGGGATAGGAATGGATTACCAACAGACTGAGGACCTTCTGCCTCTGCATGTACACAGGAGCTGAGAACTGTTCTACTTGTCGCAGGGAAGAGAAGGCTTGTGAGCAACACGTGTCATGTGCTGGCCCCTTGTAGGAACTCAACATCTTTAAACACCATTAATGGTTTAAACTGATTTCATTGCCAGGTGTGGCTAATGCTGGTCCAACAGATCAAAAGCTGGAAAAGGGGAGCTGAGGTAAACAGAAAGCATCATATGAAACTGGGTTAAAAATACAGAAAAAAAGAGAATAAAATTACTTATAATAAAGAGAAATTGATTACGAATACAGTTGAGTCAGCTGGGTCTTCCACATCTCCTGTCCCTTCCACATCACCTCTGCATCTTCTCCCATTCACTTCATGGTCCTCTTGCCTAATTAAAATACCCACTTTGTATCATGTCTGATATCAAGTGGAGTTAATTTGTAAAATCCCACCCAGGACTCATCAGGACCAGGTGACTCCAAACATCCAGATCTGCCCTGGGCACAAATTGGAATTTAAGGTTCTCAAAAACACAGAAAGCTTGTGGTGAATGACTTAAAGTTGGGCAGTCAAAGGTTGGCTGCCTGTAATCTGTTGGAGCAGTGAATATGTAGCAAATTGGGAGCCACTATTTTGGAACACAGATAATATTATTCAGTCTGCAACAGTCCTTATCAGATTTGTGATTTATCATAAAAAGTTGGAAGAGCCACTACTGCAAGCACACAGGTCAACCATGGGCACACAAAAGTGATTTGTATGGGAGGTATAAGGTCGCCCAGCCCCAGGTGTACAAGCCCTGCAACTGCAAAAACACAGGGAAAGTCATGTCCCATATGCTTTTCATGCAATGCATGGGATTCAAACATGTAGTAGAAGAAATCTTACACACTTGTCTGACATCTGGCAACTCTAGCAGCAGCCATGCTGCCTTGCAGGTCCTTTCAAACTTCTCCCAGAGCCTGGACCTTGCAGACATGGGTCTTGAGGTGGCACTGAAAGATATTCTGGTTCAGGCACGATGTTGAGAAGGTCCAAGTCAAATTTCCAGTCATGGCTTGTGCTTCCAGCATCTGATAAGGCCTAAGAGAGAATGATTTGGGAGTCACAGACCGAGGAACAAAACCAGAGATGGCTGCTGACAGGACAGGAGGAGAGCAGAGGCTTGGGTGGGAGCAGAAACCCCACAGAAGTCATGCCGGGTGGGAGCAGAGGCGGGCTGGAGCCAGGGATGAGGGTCCTGAGCCGGCTGAGGGGGCCAGCACACCTCCAGACCTTGTGCTCATCATGGCTGCAACAGGGACAGTTTTGGTGTGGGGCACCAGCACTGTGGGGCCACACACCCCTGAGATGTACCGAAACACCCCACACGCCTCTCCTTGAGGGTTCACTTGGCTTGGCTAGCAGCAGCGCCCGGGGATAGGCAGGACAGGGGGTTGTGCCCAGGGAGAGGACCAGTGCTCACCAAACTGAGGGAAACGAGGTCCCCAACAAGAGCTAGAGCAGGTCTCACCAGCTGCTCTTGTCCTGTGCTTCACACGTGCTTTTGGAAGTGGAAAACTCCTAAAAAAAGGCTCTGGGAAGTGAACACCCAGTGGACATTTTAACTATCGACCATGCCAGTGGACATGACAATTAATATGTTTCAGTCGTAATTTCCTTAGAAAGAAAAGTTGGCCACAGAGAAAAATAGAACCGAGTTTAGGCCTAAAGAAACAGTTTAAAAAATTGTTTGACTGAGTGTTTGCAAAAAGTCATAAAAGCAGATACAGAAGCGATGTACAGCAGCCGCCAGCAGCACGCCATTCCAGATAAAGTGCTCCAGCATGGTTTTTCCTCCTATGAAGGCGACACAAAAGTATTGGCACAAAACATATTTGCCCCAAAGCTTTGTAACAAAAGCAAGCTTGAAAATGGTTCTCAGGCTGAACTCTGCTCAAGTACAGCATCTTTCCTGCTTCTCGTCTCCCTGCCTCCCCACCTTACCCAAAAATAATGGCCTGGGAAAATGAGCAGGTCCTGTAGTTACTCTTGAAGACTGTTGTATTCAGGTTTTGGTGAAGTAAGGAAGAAGACATTAGAGCCACTGAATATTTGAATTAGTCTCAGCAGGTCAATTACTACAAAGATTTTCTGCTCTAGTTGCTTGCAGAGAGATGTGCAATTGTTAAAAATCCCAGCTATTTTCCGTTTAATTTATTTGCAAAGCAAGACATAACAGTGTAAAAAAATCAATTGAACAAAACAATTTTATTGGAGTTCACATGCTACAACAAGGTGCACAAGTACAAGACCTCAAGCGAGACAAGCAAGCAGTGCTGTAGCTGTTTTCAAAGACCTCTGCTGTTTGCAGAAATGTAGGCTGAGCACACCAGCAGTTTAACACTTTTCCCCCTCAATCAATTATTTAACTTTTCCTTTTATTTTGTTGAAAGTTCTTTTTTTTCATTTAGTACAATCACTACTTTTAATAAAGGGTGTATCCCTCCACATTTCTGTACTGCACATTTGAATTTAGAGCACTACAAATCCCTGCTTTCATACCTTTGCTTCAGTGGTTCCTCTCTACCCCCAGTAGTCTTTCAGATGGGAAGGATGAGAAGTCAATAGAAGCTCCAGCAGATCAAAGAACAGGATCTGTCAGGCCCCTGTTGTCTCCATGTCCAATATTGTGTTGCAGTCCTCAGGGGCTGAAGCAGAACCTTTCATTTGAGAACTTGCACTGAAGAAGTTCCAGAATAACAAAAAATGGATGAAAGCCAAAGGAAGTCTGTAGGCTTGAGATTCACTGGAATAAAAGGAGAATTAACACCATCACACACAACCACACTTGCTGTCATTAAACAGAGGAGATAGATATTAAAGAAGATGTGTGAGGATAATTAGCAAACTGTACTGTAATTTTCAATAGAAACATAATTCCTTTACAAAAATTCCCTCCAGAAATCTTGTAGCTTGTATTTATTTCTACACACTAATATTTTTTTTTTTGCTTTTATTCAAAAATTTCATATACAGTTTAGATGCAATTGATATTTACATTTTTTTTCAATCCTTTATGAGGCTCAGTGGACAGAAGCAATTCAATCAGAAATAAAGAAAGATGTGAATAAGCACCATGGGAGTCCCTCTTCACCCAGTGTACAGAAAAATTAATATCCACAGAACAGCTATTAAATAGGGCAGATTTTTTTCATTGCTTCAGTAGTAAAGCCACACTGATTTTGTACCAAGCAAGTATTATACACTTGAGAAAGATGGGTGACAGAGCTGAAATTTGCTAAAAGAGGGCAGGGGAGTAAGAGTTCTATTTATTTGTAATGCTAAAACCCACAATAAAATACTAACAGCTGTTACTTTACTCACATTAACGATTTCTGCTTTCTTTTTTTTTTTTAATTTGTCAATAAGACAATACACAAAACACCTAGTTTCACACTTGAAAAGTAGACAACATTGAGCAAGAGGTAATACCTGGTCAAACCCATTTATCGGTTTATACCCCTGTGAGAAGGAAAGTATCTTACCATTAATGATCAACAACTGAGTAAACAGCCCAGAAACAGTCTTCTTTAAAGACCACGGGGCCAACTGTAGCGGAGGGAAGCTGGACGAGCAACGTAAGAGAAGAGACACGCGCGCTGGCGAGAGCCGCGACCCCCCGGAGCCCCCCGGACGCAAACCCCGCGCAGGCCGGGCCCGGCGCCTGCACCGGTCGCTCCCCGCACCCCGACGGCTCCCCTGGGCTCAGCCCGGCCAAATCTGGGATTAAGATGCCAGATGGTTACACGCCACCCTGTTTGATGCCCGAGGTATGAAACGAGGCGTTGTAACTGCCTGAGCTAAAGCTGGAAAGTAGAAACAGGAGAAGCGCCAGTCCAGGGCGACCTTGGCAACGTGCTGCGCAGAAATACAGGCCTGGTCCAAGCAACTGGCTTCTTTGCAAACACTGAATGGTGAGAAATAGCTGAAACTTAAGCTATTCAAATAGTTTCACCTTCTGATGCATTGCCGTTACATATCTCATTCTCACCAGGAAGGCTCCGCATAACAACACCAGCTTTAAGTCCTTAATACAACTGTCTGAAAAGGGAATTTAGAAGCACGGGCTTGGAGAAATCCCCTCCACAGCTCCAATCCAGGCTGGGGTAAAACCGCCTTTTCCCTGTGGAGCCTGAAGCTTCTTGTAATGTCGAGGTCACGTAACAAGCTATTCAGCACCGTACCTAATCTCTCCTCCCTCAAAGGGAGGACTACATTTTCAGTGTTATAACATGAAGTTTTATAATTAGTTTGAACTGGGAGGAGAAATATGGCCTATTGTTTCTCATCATCTAACCAATTGTTCTACCAGTTCAGGGCATTAAAATTATAATGTATTTGCCTCCTATTTGCATAAAAGGGTGAGGAAGACAGCAGCAGAAAAAAACTTATACTCTTCAAAATTCTCCATACTATACTAGTGCAAATTTTCTGAAGTGTGGAAGATGAATACGTATTTGCACAAAAACTACAATAATGCAAGAAATAAATTTAAAAATAGCTGTTCCTCTCAGGCCTAGAAGCAAAAATGGAAAATGGGCAGAGGGGAACTGGAAAGGAACATTTAAATGAAATATTTTTTCAGAACAGTGATAGAAATTTAAAATATTTTAAATTCTACTCTTACAGCTGCACTTCAGTTTCTCACATATTTTCACATACTAATTATGGAAAGACTTATTATTTTAATTTAAGTTTGCATATGAAAATTCCTATAAAATATACAGATGTAACATCCTGGTGTGTTATACTGGTTTATAGGATGGCTGGCTTTGCATACAGTGATGGCATCCTATACGATATTTATATTCTATTAAAGTGGCTGGTAGTAATAATGAAGCCTAATTATATCCTCAGTTTTAAGGCTGTTTGATAACAGTCGTGTTTTAATAACTTCATAATGAATCTACACAGGGATGGTGTACTGCCAAAGAAAAATGGATATGAGTTTCTTCTGTATCAGCTCTATAAAATTAGGTCTCCTTTTTAATCCTATTTCTAGGCCATTCAAATATAACCTTTATACTTGCTTACAGGTCATTAATAATGACGCTTTCTGCTTTTGATTTTGTTACTGTAGGGATTTGTAAACAGGAAAAAAAATGTACTTAACTACATTTTGTGCACCAATTTAAAGATGGATATATTCTGAGCTATGAATATACAGTGCTGGTAATACTTCTAAGTAAATTATATATATATATTTCTTACTTTTCTATTAGAGCTTAGTCTTCATGAACAATTACTGTAAAATTTTCATTTTTTCATGTTTCTTTACAAGGTTGTGGAAGAACGCAGCCACGCAACCACCTATTAATTTGTAGTAAAAG